AAGTTCGCCCGACCACCCGCATACGTGGGAACGCTGTCATGGGATAGCCCTATGCCCAGAACCTACCCTGGGTGTGCAGCCCCCTTCCTTGCACGCTTTTGAGACGATACGACATCATCAGTTTTTTGGCCGCATGAATCCCGCCATCCTTGCGACAACCAAATGCAATCACGACGTCTCTTTGCTGCTGCGGTTCCCCCCTTGTGCCATAGATGCCCCGGATCCAGTGGCTGACATTCAGGCTCGGATGGCCACAAACATGGGAAACCTGCTCTTCTATGTGACCTGCTACACCACCAAAGTGCAGCCACAACTCACTTCACTGTGGTCTTTGTTGCAAGCGGCGGCACAAAAGTCTACAGAGGCACTGCAGCCACCGGCTCCGGTACTACCACATCAAGTGCAGGCCCGCACCACTTTGTCTCGCCTACTTCTGGCGTGCCAGAAACGATGTCACAAGTCAATGCAGGAGATGGTCTCTTACCTTTTGGGCTACGATGAATTTTATTGCACGCACCAATTCCACAAATTGTTTTATGGCGCTCTTGCTGCGCAACTGCAGCAACTTCATCCTATCCTCGTAGAGTCAGCTGCTGTAGCAGAGCTGGAGGCCCAGGACTCCGTACTGGTTCAGCCGGACATCGCCCCAGAGCAACCGGAAACGGCACCAGCTTCCAGTTGGCGACTCGTGTCTTTGTCGCATGTGGATTACCAGTTTCGCGGCGCAGACCTCGCCGATTGGCCTCTCTACTTTTATGCCGCTGGTGTCACTCGGGTAATGGCTTCCAAAAGCAGTCTACAAACACCGGGCTGTATCCCTTTTACTGCCGACCATATCTGCTGTCAGGGTGCGAGGCAACAAGTTCTCACACAGTCACCGTGGCGGATACCGCATTTGATAGGTCCTCGCATTCCTGGTGTCGAGGAGCATCCTGACAAACGCGGCTTACTGCTTTTGTTGCTCTTCAAACCATGGTTTTCTCTCCGCGATCTCTTGCCATTGACTTGCAATGCAGTCACTTGGGCCGATGCTTGGGAGTCTTGGTACAACCACCTCCAACAACTTCATGGAGATGGCGCTGCCCGTGCAGACGTGCTGTCGCCAGCCTTCTGGGCACAGCGAACCATTCACGTGGTTGGCAACATCGACAACGAGTCTACGGCTGATCCAGCCTCCGCAAGCAGAGAGCAAGCCCTCAATCCTGATGCTCTATACGGCGTGCCAGACACAACCACTGTGGAGCACAGCCATGCTACTGGACATGACCATGCAGAATCCGAGAGCGATCTTGAATTCGATCCTGACCACCTCCACGCCGACCCCGACCTCCACCTGGATGAGGCCAAGTCTCCCTTCCCACCGATTTTTCTACGCGCCGCGTTGCTGTTCTTTTTTTTGGGGGGGAAGCTCCATCGGCCCGACGATCCACCGGGCTAGTACGCACTCTTCGCCGGACCGGTCTCGTCTCCTTTTGGTGGGTGGTTGGGTGCTGCTTTTTTGGGTCCGCCCCTTGCTTGCCAGGCCTTGCCTGAGCATGCCGCTACTATGGCGCCAAACCGTTCCAGTCCTGCATTTTCCGCAACATGGGACATCCTTCAGCCGCTGGCTCGTTCAGAACTTTTTCCTGGCGCTTTCGCGTCGGCCAGCTATGTAGCGCATTTCCGGTCCATCGATGACAACATCATGCTGCACTCAATGCCTGCTGGACAAGGCCCCCCCCTGTGGTCCCGTGGCAGCTACCAGATTATGTGCCCACTAAGCGGCTTCAGCAAGAAGAACTTGACTGGGACTTGGCCAAACGGCTTGCGCCAGCAGCCTTTGCTGCCGCACCGCCCCGCGGTACAGACTTCCAATTGCCCTGTCTGCCCAAAACAGAGCGCATCGTTCTTGAGCAGGCTGAGGCCTGGTTGCTCCATGGATGTTGCGATTCCAGCCCCGGTGTTCTCAACCTGAAGCAGGCAGCATATCTACTGCTCATTGCCATGTGGCTCCAAACAACGATGAACAGTACCTGGGGTTTGCCCGCACGTATACCTCCTTTCCATACTTCTCTTTTGCTCGGCGGGCCGGGTACCGGGAAGACCTTCATCACCAACGTGGCCAAAAAACTTGTCCACATTTTCTTGCCCCATAGCATTCAATCTGCAGCCTTCACCCATCGAGCCGCCAGTCTGGTTTCTGGTGAAACTTTGCACGCCTGTTTGTCTTTGCCTCTGGACCTGACCGATGCGACGGCTGGTGCTCAGCTCGGCGTCCAGAAGGACGACTTGCAAGCGGCTTGGAGCCAAATCAAGACCTTGTTCATAGACGAGGTTTCCATGATTTCCAACGAGCTGCTGGCCTTCGTGGACCTACGATGTCGACAACTCTGCCGGAATCAGGCAATGGTGCCCTGGGGCGGCCTCTCCTTACGATTGTCGGGCGATTTTCATCAGCTGCCACCCGTCCAAGCCACTTGTTTGATCAAACCTGTTGCATCTCAACTCCACAACGCAGAAGCTGCGTCCGGCAGGCTTCAGATGGTGCAAGCCGGCGCCTCGTTGTGGAAGACCGTCGACTCCGTTTTGATCCTGACCCACAGCCACCGCTGCTCTGGACCTTTGAGCACCCTGCTGCAAGAACTTGTCAGCGACAAAGGCATCTCCGACGAATCCTGGCAACATTTGGTCGCCCGCAGCCTTGGAGCCAATGACCCGCGGTTACAAGAGCCAAAATTCCACGCAGAGCGGTGTCCTGTTGGAGTGCTGCGACATTCCATCCGCAGCGCGAAGAGTCTGCAGCGAGCCCAGCATGCTGCCTTTGCCAGCGGCCACCGGTTGCTGATAGCTATGGCCGCTGATCGCATATCCGGCTCTAATAGACCCATCGGTCTGACGCCCGATCTGGGCATGGAAGCTGCTTCCGTGCACAACTTGACGACCACCGCGAATCTTCCGGCTATGCTGTACCTCTTTTCTGGTTTGCAACTCTGCTTGGAAAGCAAGCTGTGTGTAGAATTGGGCGTCGTCCGCGGTTGCACTGCTATCGTCGATGCCATCCTGCTCGCTGACAACGAACCGCGCCTGGGCTCTGAGATTCGCTTCCTCTCTGAATTTTCCTTTTGTTCATTTTTCCTGCTGAGGCATTTTGATCCAGACCCGACTCTACCACCGCACGCATTGCTTTTCCTACCCATTGGCCTCATCCTTCGAGTACCGAATGCTACGTGGATCAAGCACGCTGATCTCGGACCTGGTCGTTTCTTTCTAGGACCTACTACGAGGAGCTGGCGGTTTTACCCCACTAGCGTGCCCACTGCCCATGCCCTGTTGGATCGAGATCAACGGGCCTACCTACAGGTACAGCGGGCCCAACTGCCCTGCACCAATTTGTTCGCCTTGACAGCGTACAATCTTCAGGGGCAGACCCTCCCAGCGATTATTCTGGATCTCGCTAAGCCACCGTATATCAAGAATGTGCCTCAACGTCTTTTTTTCTTTTCTCTTTCTTTTAACCTTTGACCCCATCAACGTTTTTCCCTGGACTCCTGGACATGTCCATATTTCCGATCCGCTCAGGACGACTACTGGATTGCTTGTTTGGTACTTCTCAGCCGGGTGCCAACCTTCGATGACTTGCTCCTCGTTCGTTTGCCCGACCGAAAGTCTTTGAGCAGGCCACGGCCTGACTACCTGCGACTCGCGCATGCTGATTTCACTCGCCGCGAACAGGCCACGCTCCGGCAGTTGCACCAGGCGCTTGGAGCCTTACGATTTCCTCGGCTACAGAGCCTCATCACCGAACCCCTGCTTGCAGCCGCTCCAGCCGTGCTCCGTCGCAGCCACCCGCAGAAGCGCAAGATGCCTTCATCAGACACATAGTCTTTCAGACCGAAATGCGGCTGTCGCTCCCAGGAACGGCTGCCCGTTGAGGCGCAGAGACGTCCAGGTGCCCACTGCTGCCTTTCCCAATCTGCTCTGGGAACCTCGGACTCGACCCTCTTCGCTTCACAGACGGGACAATACGTGATCGGAAGAGATAGCCAGAAGGGTTCCCTCTCAGATTGAGATGATCTTCGACAGCTTCGCACCAAGCCATCACAAAGGCACTCGCTGTTTGCTTGACGAAGAATGACTGGAATCCCTTGATTGAACTGGTGGGTCCGGCCGGTCCGGTAGGAGCAAAGGTTGTAGAACACAATGTGCCTGACGAGTTCTGGCCGCGGTCTTCTCAGACTGAGGACTAGCGCTTCGGCTGCAGTCCAGAATTATGGGACTAGCGCTTCGGCTGCACTCCAGACTAATGGGACTTGCGCTTCGGCTGCAGTCCGGACTGATGGGACTCGCGCGTCGGCTGCAGTCCAAGTCTGACAAGACGGTCAAGCTCCAAAGACTTCTCCGAGAAAAGTCCCTGTGAGCTGCCGTTGCCACATTTGACCAAACATGCGCTGTTTGGACCTACCGTGGATAGGCTGTTCTTGATGCTTGTTACACTTGACTGGCTATATAGAGTTAAGGTCTCCTCAGACTGAGGACTAGCGCCTCGGCTGCAGTCCAGACTGATGGGACTCGCGCATCGGCTGCAGTCCAAGTTTCACAAGACAGTCGAGCTCCAAAGCCTTCTCCGAGAAAAGTCCCTGTGAGCTGCCGTTAGCACATTTGACCCACCATGCGCTGTTTGGAACTACCATGCATAAGCTGTTCTTGATGCTTGTTACGTTTGACTGGCTACAGAAATTAAAAGACTAATGTCAAGATATACAGAAACCTCTCTGTTTTTGTTCGCTCTTTTGGTAACGTTAGGGGCTTGTTACGTTTGACTGGCCATATAAATTTAAAGACTAATGTCAAGATATGCAAAGCCTCTCTGTTTTTGTTCGCTCTTTGGGCAACGTTGGAGGGTCCCCTTTTTT